CCCCCCCAGTGTCCCCCAATGTCCCCAATGTCCCCCCCAGGCCGACATGGCTCTGTGGCTCCGGGGGATCGAAGCCGCCGCCGGGGCCGCGCTGGGTCCGGGGGGGCCCTGGGAGGGCTCGGGGGTCCCCGGGGGTCCCCCCAAGGGGATGTCGCGGGCCCTGAGCCTCCCCCCGGTGCCCCCCCCGGCCGAGGGAGCCCCCCGGCCCCGCGAGCCCAAGGAGAGGGAGAAACGCTTCAGCTTCTTCAAGAAGAACAAGTAGAGAGAATTTGGGGGTGCAGCGGCCGACGGAGGGACACGGGGGGGACACTGAGTGTCACTCCCCCCGTCCCAGTGATGTCCCCATGCAGCCCCCACCCCAATAAAGTGATTGGAGACAAAGATTGGGGGGTCTGAGTGTGCTGGGAGAGGGGGGACTGGGAGGGACTGGGAGGGACTGGGAGGGACTGGGAGGGACGGGAAGGGTGGGATTTGAATAGGGATGGGGTTGGGATGCAAATTGGAATTGGGAGGCAGGTGGCGATGGGATAAAGACGGGATTCACGCGTGGGTGGGATGGAAATGGGATTGGGATGGGATGGAAATGGGATGGGATGGTTTCGCACTGGAAGGGGGGTTTGGCAACAGGTGGCACGGGGCACCCCAGTGCTCCCAGTGCTCCCAGTACAATTCTCAGCGCTCCCAGTACAGACCCCAATGCTCCCAGTACCTCCAGCACTGCCAGTGCTCCCAATACCCCTAGCGACCCCAATATTCCCAGTGCTCCCAATATCCCCAGCGCCCCCAATATTCCCAGTGCTCCCAATATCCCCAGTGACCCCAGTACGGGGCCCAGCGCTCCCAGTACAGCTCCCAGTACAGCCTCCAGTGTTCGACGCCCCCCCACCATCAATGGACCGTCCCCACCCCCCCACGGCCTCATGGACTGCTCCACCCTCGCCCCGCCCCTTCCTCCTCTGATTGGCTGCGGCCGCTCTGTGGGCGGGCTCACTTGGCGAAGCGATGACCTCACGCTGCGGTATTTGATGGACAGCTCCGGCAGCCAATGAGCGCGCGGGAGGCGGGGCAAGGCCGGGAGACGCCGCCGCCATTTTGTGAGCAGCGCGCGGCGGACGGGGCAGGTGGGGGCGGGGGGGGCTCGGGGGCGGCTTCGGGACCGGGGACCGGGGGGGGACACACGGCCAGGCCCGGCCACGGCCCCGCCGAGCCGCCCGCAGGCCTCGGGCGATGCCATCCGGGACGGTTTGAGAGGGACTCGGGCCTGTGGAGGGGAGGGGTTTGGGGGGGTGGGGGGCTGTCTCAGATCTGAGGGGTCTCAGGCCTGAGGGGGGGGGGGTCTCAGGCCCCGGGGGTAAAAAGAGGGATTTGGGGAGCGGTCTCAGCCCGGCGGGGTTTTGGGGTTCGGGACGTGGCTCTGCACTGTGAAGCTGCGGGGGGTGCACAAAGATTTGGGGTGTTTGGGGGCTCTGCGCTGCAGTAAAAGAAGTGCCAGGGACCTGAGTGGATTGTCGGCGGCTCAGAGGTCTGAGGTGTGGTTTGGGGTGTCAGAGGTTTAAGGTGTTTTTTTGGGGGCGTTTGTGGCCACAGTGTGGGAGGAGCACAGCAGAGCTTTGGTGTGTTTATTTTGGGGGGAATTTGGGGTGTTTGAGGCTCTGCCCTGAAAGAGCAGAAATAAAATTTGGGAGAGATTTGGGGTGTTTGTTTGGGGCTGTGCCCTGAATGAGCAGGAGCAGAGTTCCGGGGTGTTTATTTGAGAAGATTTGGGTGTTTGGGGCTGCACCCTCAGGGACACACACACAGACATTTGGGGGCTTTATTTGAGGGGTATTTGGGGGCCCATCCTTGAGCACAGACACAGAGGTTTGGGGTATTTGAGGAGGATTTAGGGTGTTTGGAGGCACAGCCCCAGGGACACACACAGTTTTGGGGTGTTTCAGGGGATTTGGGGGCACAGCCCTGGGTACACACACAGAGATTCAGGGTGTTTGTTTATTTGGTGTTTTGGGGGCACAGCCCCAGAGGTTTGAGGAGGATTTAGGGTGTTTGGAGGCACAGACACGGAGGCTTGGGCTGTTTGCTGGGGGGGTTTTGGGGGGCACAAAGGTTCACCGCTTTCTCGGGGGGTTTTGGGGGTCGTTTGGGGCTCACCGCGGCGCTGTCCGGTGCAGGCGGGTCGCGATGGTGAAGCTGTTCATCGGGAACCTGCCGCGGGAGGCGACGGAGCAGGAGATCCGCTCCCTGTTCGAGCAGTACGGGAAGGTGCTCGAGTGCGACATCATCAAGAACTACGGCTTCGTGCACATCGAGGACAAGACGGCGGCCGAGGACGCCATCCGCAACCTGCACCACCACAAGCTGCACGGCGTCTGCATCAACGTGGAGGCCAGCAAGAACAAGAGCAAAGCCTCCACCAAGCTGCACGTGGGCAACATCAGCCCCACCTGCACCAACCTGGAGCTGCGCGCCAAATTCGAGGAGTACGGCCCCGTCATCGAATGCGACATCGTCAAGGACTACGCCTTCGTGCACATGGAGCGGGCCGAGGATGCCGTGGAGGCCATCCGGGGGCTGGACAACACCGAGTTCCAAGGTGAGGCGCGGGCTTAGGCGGAGGGAGGGCTGCGGGGTCCCCGGCGATGCCGCCGCCGGCCCCGGCTCTGGGGTGGATCCCGGATGTGACCACGGCCGGCTCCGCAGGGCCGTAAAGCGCCCTCGGGGCTCTGGGGTTTGGTGTCGGCGTGTGCCCGCCCCGCCGCAGCTCCCGGGGCCGCCCGCGCGGTGCGGCCGGAGCGAGGGCTCGGGCTCGGGGGCTCTGGGCCGGGGAGGACGGGACTGACCCATCTCTGATTAACCAGCACGGCCGCCCCGCAGGAGGACCCCGACGGCGACGTCCTGTGCCGGGCCGGAGCAGCGGGTGACGCCAGGCTGCCGCCCGCCCTTGTAGCCTTGCCCAGCCTGGTAAGAGGGTGACGGAGGCGCCCGACCCCGCGCCCGGCGTCGCTCGGGCGCTCGACGGGGCCGTGCGGCCGGACTCGAGCCGCGGCGCTGGCGGCGGTGATGGCGAGCGCGTCTCCCGGCCGGGTGCTCAGGGCGGCGTCCGGCGCTTCACCCGCGCAGACCGGGGCGCTCCCGGTGCTGCCGGGGCTCTACACGTCCCGCCGCCCCCGTTCCGGGCCTTCCCCAAAAAAACAGCGATCCAGCCGGGCCGGCACAGCTGCACCCAGAGCTGTCCCGGCCGCGTCCGCGCTTGGCTTTGCCTCGTGCCGTGCTCAGGCCCGGGCCCTGTTCGCTCCGGGGGCGCTTCCCGGTGTCGCATCCCTCTCGCCGCCGCTCCGGCGTTTTCCGGCGCGAAGCTTTGCCGTCACACGAGGCCGGCAGTGCTGGGTCTGACCCCAGGCTGCCGGGGCTTTGCCGGGCTGGCCGCAGTGGCCGCACTCGGCCACGGCAGCACGTCCCAGTCAGCCGCTGTCCGGCGTCCATCTGGCGGCTCACGCTCGGTCCCGCGGTGGCTCCTCCCGCGCCGGTGGCTGCGGAGGGCTGGGGGGAGGTGGCAGCCGGTCCCGTCCCGTCCCGCCGGTGCCCTGGGCACGGCCGCACTGACCCTGCCTCTCGCGTCTCTCCCCAAGGCAAGCGGATGCGCGTGCAGCTGTCCACCAGCCGGCTGCGGACGGCGCCCGGGATGGGAGACAAGAGCGGCTGCTACCGCTGCGGGAAGGAGGGGCACTGGTCTAAGGAGTGCCCGGTCGATCGCCCGGGGCAAGTGGCGGACTTTGCCGAGGCCTATAACGAGCAGTACGGAGCCGTGCGCACTCCCTACACCGCGGGCTATGGGGAGACCGTGTATTACGATGAGGCCTACGGCGGGATGGCCGACTACTACAAGCGCTACCGCGTCCGCTCCTACGCCACGGCCTCGGCGTACGACGCCTACGCGGAGCAGACCATGGCCCAGTACTCCCAGTACGCCCAGTACTCCCAGGTCCAGTCCTCGGCCATGGCCGCCACCACGGCCATGGCCGGCCGCATCCCCACCACCTTAGACGCGTACGACCGAGCGCTGCTGCCCACCCCGGGCGCGGCGGCCGCCGTCGCCGCCGCCGCCGCCACCGCCGCGGCCGCCGCCGCGTCCTCCACGTATTACACCCGGGACAGGAGCCCCCTGCGCCGCACGGCCGCCGCGGCCAGCACCGTCGGAGAGGCGTACACGTACGAGCGTGGGCAGCTGTCGCCCGTCTCCTCGGTGGCCCGGGCGTCCCTCTACGACATGCAGCGCTTCGGGCGGGACCCGTACGCGGACCGGGCGCGATACTCCGCCTTTTGAGCCGGAGGTGAGCGCGTCGGCGGCCCTCGGTGCCGCAGGGGGCCCCGCTGCCGGTGGTCCCCACTGTGCTGGTTGAGCTCGAGGCGGGTGACGGGTCTCGGTGACACAGACAGTCCCCACGGGCGTTAAAGCCTGGCCGCGGTGAGCGGGGCGGTGCCGGTGTCGGTGTCACTCTCAGAGCTGGAACTCACGTTCGTGCCGGGCCGGGCCGGGCCGGGCGCTGTCCCGGCACAGTTCCCGCGGGGAGGGGGGGTTCCCGCAGAGCCCCCGGCCTTGGGCTGTGCCCGGTCCCGGCGGGCCGAAGCCCCGCCGCTGCTCCACGCCAGGACTCTGTTGCTGCCAGGAAGCCGCAGCTCCCCGGGGCGCCGGGGCTCGGCACGGTTCCGGATCGGCCCCGGGGGGCACCTGCGCCAACTCCTCTTTTCTCTTACAGGTAAGATTTGTGCGGCTGGACGTCGGGGTCCCGTCGCACACCGACTCGGCGCCGCGCGTCTCGGGCCGCGCCGGGTGCCACCGCCGCCGCGTGCCGCTCCCGGGCCCGTTCCGTACGGACGCGCGGCTTGTCCTCAGCCCGGGCAGGATTAGCTCAGCCCCTCCCCTCCGGCTTCCCCCGCCCCCCTGGGCAGGATTTTGCTTTTCCAGGTAGTTTTGGGTCCCCACCCCAGGCTCAGGTGTGAGCGTGCAGCTGCAGCCGTCCCCCAGCGCCAGCTTTGCTTTGCTTCGCCGCCCCCTCGCTCCCCCGGAGCTCTTCCCAAGTCGTCGTTTTGCCTTTTTTTTTTTTTTTTTTTTTTTTTTTTTAAGAGGGTGCATAATCCAGTGGTAGGTTTTTAGCCCAACGCCGTAGCTGATCGGAAGCCGCCGCGCCGGCGGGGGTGGAACCCCCCGAGTGATTTAGAGTCCCCCGACCCCACTTTCCGGTAAAATAAAACTCAAAATTTCTACCAAACGGCGCTGGCTCCGCCCCCGGTTCTTTCTGTGCTTCTGGACTCGCTGGTGCTGCCTGTGCCCTGCCAGAGCTCCTGGGGATGGGCTGCTGCAAATGGGGGCGCCCCCAAAACAGACCCAGGGCCCCCCAGAGGGGCACCCAGGGGTAACGAAGGGGCTTTAGCCCCCCGCTCTTCCTCCTCATGGGCAGCGGGAGCTGCCACTTAACCTGCCCCAGGCTAGTTATTCCTTAGGCTGCCGTGTTTGTCCCCAGACTGGTTCGTTTTGTCCCCACATGCTCTCCTGCCTCTCGGCGTTCAGTAATTGAGGCCATTAAGCCCGGGACACGCCTGTGGTGCTGTTGCCAGTTCTGCCTCGCCGGCGCCGATCGGTGCCACGGGCACGCGTGGGCGCTGCCATGGCCACAGCTGAGGACTCGGGGCCAGGCCCAGCCATGTGTGGCCAGCCTGGAAAGGAGGGGAGGAGCTTCAGACTCTCCTGCCTGGCTAATTGCCGTGGTGGTTCATGAGCCCGGTGGCACAGCCAGGACTGGGCTGTGACTGGTTCCTGGGGAGAGATGCGAGTGCTTGTAGGAACAGTCACGGCGATGCCAGTGGTACCCACAAGCCCTGGCACGGCACACGTCACCCCTCAAAAACCAGCTTTTCTCACCCAAAACAAGGCCCTGGTGCAGGTTGGTGCCGGTGACCTCGTGCAGTGTCGAGGCAGGGCCGAGTCTGGCGCTTCTGCTGCCAGCTCCGAACACTGCTCATCCTCCAAATCCGCCTGCTCTGTGGTGGGAAAGCAGCTCCAGCACCGGGAGCGGCATCAGGCCGGGCTGGGAGGTGGTGACGGTGGCACTGGGAGGGGTGGGAGTCGACCCTTGGTACTGGGAAAGAACCAGGCGGGAGGCGTTGGGAACCGGAGCAGACCCCAGCATTTATTTACAGTCATAAAAAAACCCCAGCACCGTGCCGGGCCCAACGCTGGAAATGGGGAATTCACCCAAAAAACGGGACAACTCGTGGTATAAAAGAGTCTGAGCCTGAGCCACACAGCCACAACCATTGGCGGGTTATGAACCGGCGCCGAGCAGCGGCGGGGGACGAACCGCACGGCTACTGCCAACCGTAACCTGGAACCTTCTAAAAATCTCAAACAGAAAAACCAGAAAAAAATGGCTGGAAAAAAAAAAAAAAAAGTCCGTGCCCCGGCGGGGCGGCGAGCGGGGCCGTGGCTGGCTCACAGGCGGCGCTGGTAGCCCGAGTGGACACGGGCAGGGGGCATGTAGTCGCTGTAGCCGCCCGAGTAGCGGGCGTACTCGCTGTGCGCGTCTGGCAGGCGGCGGTAGTCCAGCGGGGACTTGGTGGGCGAGCGGCGGTACGCCAGCGGCGAGTCCGCTAAGCGCCGGTAATCGGCCAGCTCGGACAGACGGCGCTCGGAGCCGTACCTGGGCAAGAAAAGAGACGGGGTCAGCCGGGGAGGCCGGGGAGGGGGGACGGCGCCCGGATCTGCCACCGGGGACGCACCGCGATGGGCAAAGCTGGCGCAGGACAGGACCGGACACTTGGACGCCGCGGAGGCCCCGATGTGTGCCACCACCTCCCCTCACCCACACCAAAACCCCGTGCCCTCCCCGGGGTCTGTGCGGCACGAGCGGAGCCATGGCGCCCACCACGCCGGGCGATAGCGAGCACCGGTCAAGCCGCGAGCGGTGCGCCAGAGCCCGGCGAGCTGGCGAGCAGCGGGAGGCAGGGGTGGGGGTCGGTGCCCCGCCCGGCACCGTACCTTTTAGCCAGAGAGGACGATTTTTTGTACGGGTCGTCGTAGGCGGCGCTGCGAGGCGGGGAGAGGCGGGTGCGCTCGTAGGGCGGTGCGGTGGCCTGCGCCAGGCCCAGGTAGGAGCCTGCCGGCTGCCCCAGCTGGCTCGGCCCGTCGTAGGCGCTGCCCGGCTGGGCTCGGTACGCGGCCGCCAGCACGGCGGAGGACGGCTGCTGTGCCGGGTAGGAGGCCGCCATGGCGCCGGAGGCCTGGGCCCGGTACGCAGCTGTCAGTGGGGCGGAGGCCTGTGCCTTGTAGGAGGCGGCAGCAACGGCGGCCTGGCTGCCGTAGGATGCAGCCAGTGAGGAGCCGGTCTGCGCGCCGTAGCCGGCGGGGAGCGCGGCGGCCGCGGGCTGGCTGCCGTAGGACGCGGGCAGGCCCGCGGCGGGCTGGGCACCGTACGAGGCCGAGTGGCCCACGGTGGGTTGAGCACCGTAGGAAGCAGAGAGCGCTGGCTGGGCACCGTACGAGGCCGAGTGGCCGGCCACGGGCTGGTAGGCAGCAGCAGCGTGACCAGCCACAGCCTGGGCGCTGTAAGAGCTGGCGTGCACCGCCACGGCCTGGGCGCTGTAGCCGGCGGACAGCGCGGTGCCGGGCTGGGCGCCGTAGGAGCCGGCGTGGCTATCCATGGGCTGGGCGCCATAGGAGCCTGTGGCCAGCTGGGCGCCATAGGATGCCACGTGCACGGCCACGGCCTGGGTGCTGTAGGAGCTGGCAGAGCCGGCAGCGGGCTGGGCGCTGTAGGCGGCAATGGCGGGCTGGGCGCTGTAGCCGGCCGAGTAGCCCGAGGCCGGCTGGGCACCGTAGGAAGAGGCCAGGGCGGCGGACTGGACGCCGTAGGAGCTGAGGGAGTTGGCGGCAGCGGGCTGCGCGCCGTACGAGGCGGCGGCGGCGGGCTGGGCGCCGTAGGAGCCGAGGGAGTTGGCGGCAGCGGGCTGAGCGCCCGCGGCGCCCAGGGAGCCGACTGAGGGCTGGGAGCGGTAGGCGCTGCCCAGCGAGGCCGAGGGCTGCGCGCGGTAGGCGGCGGCCTGGCCCGTGGTGGGCTGCGGGCGGTATGCCATGCCCAGGGAGGCCGAGGGCTGCGCTCGGTACGCGGCCCCCAGCGAGGCCGAGGGCTGGGCGCGGTAGGCGGCCGGCTGTGCCGTCATGGGGAGCGTCACCGCCGCGTAGCCGGCACGGGTGGGCGAGCGCCTCAGAGGGCTGCGGTCCCTGCCAAAGTAGGAGGGGGAGGCGGGCCGGGGCTGCGCGTCGAAGGCGTCGTACTTGGCGCCAAAGCGCTGCTGGTAATCGTACAGGGACGGGGTGCTGGCATAGCCGGTGCCCACAGCCGAGGGAAAGGCGGCATCGGCCACCCGGCGCTGCTGGTCGAAGCCCTCGATCTTGGGCTGGAACTTCTCGCGGTACTCAAGGCTGATGCGCTTGGTCTTGTCGACGCCGAGGGCGGGCGGCGGGGCCTGGCCCGTGCCCTTCTTCTGCACGTTGGTGGAGAGCTCCACGTTCACCCGGCGCCCCTTCACCTCCTTCCCATTTAGGTTTTCGATGGCAACTTTAGCATCGGCTTCGTTCTCCATGTGCACAAAGGCATAGTCTGACAAAGCAGCAGAGAGAGCAGTGAGGGGAGAAAACACAACTCGTTACAGGAGCCGGCGCTAACGAGCCGTGCGGCCGCAGCGGGACGGGCGCAGGACGGGCGCTGCCGGCCCCGGGACGGCGCTGCCGGCCCCGCTCGCCGGCGAAGACACAACCACCACCGTCAGCTCGGCCCCACGCTCGTTTGGTCACAGCCCACCCGGCGTCCCCCAGCTGCCAGCCTCCCCCTGCCCTCCCGGCTCCCTCCGTGTCCCCCCACGCTCTGCCTCCTCCTGAGCCCCTCCTGGCCCCTCCCTGGCACATGGGGACGAAGGGTCCGGGCTGGGCCGGCAGCGCCAGCGCCGTGGGCTCAGCTGGGATGTCCTGGCAGTGAGCGGAGCAAAGCTGAGAGAACCGGCGCCAGCACAGAGAGCGGGACAGGGACACAGGAAGGGGGGAGAGAGGGGGAGAGGGGACAGAAAAGGACAAGAAGAGAGAAGGGAACAGGAACTTAGAGGGGAAGAGGAGGGAGGAGGAAGGGAAGGGCCTGAGCACCCCCCGTGAGCGCCTGGCCATGGCCAGGAGCTGGTGCCACGCGGCACAACCACGGCTCAGCAGCACAGAGGCACCTGAGGACAGCGAGGAGCAGGGAAGCAGGACCTGGTGGCAGCTCTGGTGGCCGCCTGTGGCCCTTGGCCCAGTGGGTTTGGGGGCTGGATGCCCCCATGGCAATCTGAGGTCACCCTCGTGGCACGACGGGTCCGGGGCCGGCACAGGGCAGGAGGGCAGCGACCCCGTGGTGTTTCCCTGCAGTCACACAGCAAGACCACCGGAACCAGTGACAGCCCGGCCAAGGCCGTGTGGTGTGCTGGGAGCATCGCTGGCCAAGCAAACCCATCCCAGACCTCTGAGCATCAGTGCCATGTCACCCCCTCCTGTGTCCCCCCCTCTGCCATCCCACCCCCCTGGCTCCTGTCCCACATCCACGTGTTCCACTCTGGTAGCCCAAAGAGGGGACGTCCCCTCCATGTCACCCCCTGGGGTGGCCACGGCACCCCCAAACCCGAGGGGATGTGGGGCAGGTCCTGCTGGGCTGTGCTGGTGGCTGCGAACTGGGACCAGAGAGCAGAGGAACAACGTCCCCCTCCTGTGGGCAGGGGCACACGGGCACTGCAGAGACATCAGCGGGACTCCGGAGGGGATGAGGTGACAGCAGGGGCAGGGAGAGGGAATGGAGTGACAATTGCCAGTCCATCTGCGTGACACGGGTGACCCTGTCACGCTGGGCTGGGGATCCCCAGTGCGGAATCATCGAACCCCTCAGGGGTTTCGTGGTGTGTTCTGTGCATGTCCCAGCGTGTCCGTGGAGGCCAGGCCGTGGCCTGGGGGTGATTTGGTCACAGAGGTGGCAGCAGCAGGCAGGGCTCACCCCACCTGGGGCTGGCACAGATCAAAGCTGCCAGGAAGGGCGTTATAGGGGCGTTCAGGACTGTGGAGAGCCCCACTTGTGGGAGGTGAGGAAGGCTAATGCGGAGATTAAGGGGGCTGGGGAGCCCACACGGCTCACGTGGCCCCACCTGGGGTTTGGGCAGGCGATTGCAGAGCACGAGGCCGGCTGGAGGAAGGCTGCCAGGG